GCAGGTAAAGACAAATCCCCAGAAAAGAGCGACTTGTGTTCAACCATTTTAAGGACCCATTGGAATCGGTAGCCAACAGGCAACAATCCAACACACCTCCCCATTTCCACATCATGCCACCTCTCTAGTCAATGTGGCGGGACATTTGGGTTTGTATTCTGTTGAGGGTATCCTTGTTGCGGTGGTTTTATTGGGAAACCAAAGGGAAGCGACCCACCACTTTGGGGTCTATTCCAAGAGACACCCATTTGGCTGTGGGTCAAAACCCTGTATAAATGGTGAACAGCAAAATAGGTGGCAACTGGATGTTCATCCACCCCAAAATGGCTCGCCATAGGTTATGCAACCCATGGCCATTTGACCGGACCGGTCAGGTGCTGAAGGAGACTGTCCTTACCACTGACAGCACGCTGGACCGGCTGATCCACCTGAGCCCTCCCTCCGGTGTGCCTTAGTAAAAATCCTTGAGGCGATAGTAGGATCATACTTGCAGTAGTGCCCTTTCTCACCCTTTTTTGGGGGAGGTTTCCCCTACTAAAATAGACTACAGAAAGAAGCTGGTACCCTTATTCTAACCTCTTTGCTGTAGGACCTAGTTGCGCGTCTCAAAATTGGGGCCTCAAAATGGTGGTTTTCCTGTTGGTCTCTCTTTAACACCAACCAAAAAGGGTCTCCCCCAAGAAGACGGGCCGCCCTTACTTTTGGGAAACAGGGGAAGCAGGGGGTTGGGGGGCTTCTGCAAAACACACATAGGTTCAGTGTAGGCATTTGATTGACAGGGCCACAACCGCGTAGGCGGGCGTAGGCATTTCGCGGAGGCTTGTGCTGCGAAGCTTCGCGTAGGCAGTCGCGTAGGCAACCGTTTATGAGCTTGAGTTGTTGTGACGGTTGTGCGACTGCTTGTGAGTGGCAGTCTGGCCCAAGCTGTGGGTGGCAGCTTTTCGCCAGCTGTTGCAGCATGGCGGCGCAAGGTGGTGGGTTGGCGGAGGGAGGTGAAGGTCCGCCTGTCCGGCAGTGGAGCTGGCAACTCGCACTGCTGCACGGCTGCTATAGACCCCGTTGTGCTTGGCCAAAGAAGGTCGTTGTTTTGAGTTGTGGTGTTGAGTTGGTGGACCTTCCGTGGATACGGTCACATGTGACTGCAAGTAGCGGTTGTCTTTTTCGTTAAAATTATTCTCAAATTCTTTCCTCTCAGGTGGCTTTTGGGGGGGGCCGCCTTGCTTCCCCTTGAGTGGCTTCAGGTGGGCCCCGCGTCACTTCCCCTTCGGTGGCCTCAGGTGGTGGGGCCCAATAACCATCCCAAAGCCGACGCAACCATCCAAACCAATTCGTAAAACAATCCCGATGGATTCCCCTGCAGGCTGCAGCCCACTTATAAGACGGAAAACTCAAGAAATTTCGAGCGAGGCGTATCGGAAGAAACGGCTAGCTCATCTTCGCTTGCTAGGGTTTTAATTGAATTTCTGTGGCTCTGTCAGCTACATTTTCGTTTGTCGGAGCGTCGTCTGCAAGGCCACAGCAGTTCGACCACTGCGCCCCCCTTGACTGGGTCGGCGAAATTCTTGTGCTCCAGCTGGTCAGATCTTGCTGCAGGTTGGACAACGCGCCCCACGACTCCAGAGCGCGGTCCTCAGCTCTGAACACCGCACGCGGGCGCCTTGCGGCGCACAAGGCCTTGTTCCTGCGCGGAGTCGATGAGGTCGCAGTGTCCAAGCGCGAGGTTCGCGCGACAACCCTTGATTTGTTTAGGCGCGGACGAACAAGCGGGCGCGCAAGATCTTAGGTCAGGCACGCCGACGTGGCATCGCGCCTTGCTCGCGAGGGCTGAGTTTGAAAGGCTCGCTCTGCCTCCGCGATGAAAAGCGAAAGCGTGGCCGCCTTGGCGGTTGATTTTCTCGTTTGCTGGCTCTCGCTCGCTGCTTCAAAGCTGCTTTGTCAGGAGCCTCGTGTTCCTGCGCCGGCGCCGGCCTGCGCGCGGCTCAGGCTTGTGAGAAGAGCGCGCGTTCCGCTGAGGCGTGGCTCGACCTTCGCGAGGATCGATCTCTGCTGCGTTTTAGATGTCTCTGTTTTAGCCTCCCTGATTGGATCTCGTGACGCCGGGGCTTCCGTTTTGGATGTGCTGTTGAATTCTGAATTTTCACTCAGCTTGGTTCAGCGGAGCTTCTTTTGCAGACTTTTTGCATCTTGTTGCGCCCGTTTGCCTTGGTGTTGTCGGAGCTTCCTTTCGCGATTGGTTCCGAGTTTCCATTTGATTCGGCGTCGCTGGAGCTGCCGTTTGAGTCCTGGGTTTGAGTTTCCATTCGATTTGGCGCCTTCCGCTGCAAATCTGAAATCGTGTCGCCTCGCGTCACTAGACCTTCGTTTTGCGATTTGATTTTCAGTTCCGTTTGATTTGGTGTCGCCGGGGCTCCTTGTTGAGATCTGAAAGCAAGTTTCCGTTTGGCGCGGCGTCGCGGGCGCTCCTTGGGTTTTTAGTTTTGGGAGAAGTGACGAGACTGTGTTCGAAGCGCGTGAAAAACACTATCAAATTTTCCCCCGCCGAAGTCGAAGCCCCGCCGGCTTTGTGAGTCTGATTGGCGGGTTTGAAAGAAGGGAGCCTGCAGGAGACAATTCAGAGAAAGGCGCTCTCCGAAGCGCGCTTTGTCCGAAGTTTGGTTGCCCTGGCAGCGCGGCGAGGCCTTCCGCAACTCTGCCACGGAGTTGCCGGCTCGAAATTGGTCAGAATTCACCGCCGTTGCTCGAAATTGCTCGGAATTGTTCGGAACTGCTCGAAATTCAACCGTCTCTCCTGTTGTGTTTTTACTTCAACTCCTTCACTTGCTCGGAATTGCTCGGAATTGCTCGGAATTCGGAAGGTTTGCTCGAAATTTGCACGGCGCCGAAGCAAATTGGAGGACTGTTGTCAGTTTCGCCTCGCGTTGCTTGATTCTTGCAAATTGCTTCAATATTCCCGAGTAAGGGCGGAACCAGAGAGACGGCGCAAACTCCGCCAAAAACGCGGTCTTGGCTAACAAGATTCCCGCATCAATGCAAACCGGCAGCTTTGAGCTCAGGAGCTCGCAGCTGAACAATCTTAATGTTTTGTCCGAGCAACCAGGAACGCGTGACGAACGTCTTATAAACGTAGGACCAAGCCAACTACGGAGCGATCGGCTACGCAAGTGCTGCAGAATTGTCATGGCGCCGTCTTGAACCAGCTGGGGGCGACTTGCGCTGCTGCAGCACGCATCTGCGCGCTCAAGACCTGCGTGCCGAGCCAAGGTAGCTCGACGCAGGTTCCAAACACTCAGACAAGCCTCCGCGGTTTGCTGTAATTCGCGGGCGGGCGACAAGGTGCCGGAGCCAGGAGCTAAGATCCATGCAGAAAAGTTCACAGTTCCGTGTCATCTCCCTTCCTTTTCCAATACTCCTGCCCAGCTTTCCCTCTTGTAGTCGGTGTCCATGCCAGGCAAAAATCTCATCAACTGGAGCCTGCATCTGCTCTTCCTTCCGCAGTCAACTCAGCTTTCCCTTTTAGAAGTAGCGCCAGTCAACTTCCAGCCCATTAGATAAACCCACCAGTTGACGGGGGTTTTGTAGAGGACCAGGGCGATGTGTACTTGCGGAACATGTTCTTTTTCTGAAGCACTGGTGATTCGCTGTGTAAAGCAGTAATTTGCCGCCGGGCGATTCTTATAAGTCGCGACATCCACATTTGGAAAGCAGCAGGGGCCACTCTTTCTTCGCATTTCGCAGGCGGCCTTGTAGTTTTGCCCCTGAACTGCTCCAGCGCCAAGCAGCATGCCAGATCCCAGCTATCAACCTGGGTATTGCCTATCAAAGGACTTGACCCCAGCCATCAGCCAAAAGCTTCTTCAAGTTCAGAGGAACACCCATCCACTTGTGATATTTTGCCTTAGAAGTTCTGGTAGAATGGTCGTGTCATTTTAGGGTATCCCCATTTGCTAGATTGCGCAAAGGGAATCTCCCCAAAAAAGACAGTTGTTTGAGACGCAACAACTTAGTTTTAGTTGCGCATGTTACATAGTTTGCAGGGAGCACCCGCACATCTTGGTTTCTTTGGCTTCCAGAATCCCATGGCCTTTTCCAAACAGCTTTCCGAATCTGTCAGCTTCTACTGGGGTGCCAGTGGTCTTGGTGGTCCCACTGGGTCACATAGCTTCTTTTTGACCCTTGGCTTACCCCCAGGTTTAAATCCGTGGGTCTATCCAAACGGAAGAGTGGAGGCCATGGCATCCCGTGAAAAGAGGCTTGAAACAGTGTTTTTTGGGGGTCCCTAAAATGTACATTCCACCGGGACCATTTCGTGATGACTGCGTGGCATCGCCCAAAACACGAGCCTGCGCGTCACCTCCTTGAGCGACTGGATCGCGCAGGACAGCACCTGCCTCGCCAGACTGGAAGCTGGGGAGGCCCGTGGAGTGAAGCCGGGTAGGATTGGACAAAAGGGCTTCAATATGTGTGGCTCTAAGGACTTGAAGGAGAACCATCAAATCATTTCCATAGAAATGGATCTTCTTCATTCTGTTCGCCCATTCTTCTTTGGGGTGCTGGGCTCAATTAAAGGCACATATCATTTTGAGAGCCGTCAAAAGCTTTCGTAGCTTTGAAGAATGCCCTCAAACAAAAGTGAAGTCATAGGAATTCTGGAAACGGTGATTCCCCCCAAGGGAGATTCTTGGAGGATAGATTGCTGGAGGATAGGAACCTTACTCAACGGGAAGGAAGTCCCAGGAGCCGGGCTGCTGGTCTCGTTTTGGAGTTGGTACCCCGTGTTTTGTGGTTTTAAAGAGAAACTAAGAGGAACACCGAAGCTCTAGTGCCTTCCCCATTCTTTCCAGGCATCCTTCTTTCTACAAAGCCACCCAAAACCCTGCAAAAACAGCTGGTGTTTGAAAAGAACGATGGTTGAAAAGAATGGGGAATCAACCCCTAGAGAGGCCTTTTGGAGGGTATGCGAAAAAGACGCGAGATGGGAGCAAGACATGTTCCGTTCGGGGATGCTCGAAGCTGGGTGAAGTTTGAAGTGGCAGCCATGTCTGGCGAAGGTATATGTTAAACAAAAGCTCTCGTGCGAGCCAAGCGGAAGTTGTATTTTTGCTTGGGCACTGGCAACAATTGTGAATGTCCCCTAAAGTAGGCCAAAAGGGGATGGGTCATTTAGTTTGAAGTCCAGATCCATGGTAGAAAGTAACAATGTTCCCCGGTGTCCTCAAACTTCTGCAATCTGGGAAGCTTGTTTTTCCACCAGGCTGTTTTGGAAAAATGGCACTAGCGTTCTCTCAAGCCCATAGCATAGGGAATATTTGTAATTTTGGGTAGATCATCCGGGGGGCACCCACCAACAAGTATAATAATACCAAGAACCCCGCTCGTGATCAGCTAGTCTCGGCCTTGGATTTCACAACGGCTGTGCCAAGGGGATCTCTTTAAAACTTTAAACCTTCACAGCCTCAGGTTGGTTTCCTTTCTACAGGTCAAAAGCCCTCAAAGGTGGGTTTCCTTGCTCTTTTGGGGCCTTGTAGGCCTCATTATTTTACCATGATCAAAGTCACCCCCTAAGTGGTGGCTTAAAGGGAAACAGCCGATTCCATTTTCTGACTTTGACAACCCCCCAGAAACCGTCAAAGTAATGACCCCAGAAAAAGCCTTCAGGTCAAAAGCCCAAGGTTTGGGGGCCTTGGGGGCCTTGGGGTTCCGTGCCATTTTTTTTGGGGGGGCCTTGGAGGCCCAAGAAAAAAAACACCACTTCGGGGCAGATGTGTCGGCTCTCAGGTCGTGGAGCTCATCGGGGACGAGGAGAAGGCGGAGCTCCACGAGGTGCGCCGGATCCGCGCGCGGCGGCTGAAGGATGGCCAGGAGGGCTGGGCCCGGGGCCCCGGACCCCGTGGACGGAGGGATCGGAGGGAGGGGGGGGTGCGGTTCGTTTTGCTGCTTCCCCCGCCCGTCTTCTTGGGGGGGGGACCCTACTTGGTGGGTTTTAAAGGGAGACCAACAGTAAAACCACTATTTTGGGGGTACCCTCACCAACTAACATGGGTTTGTGCAAAAAGGCCAACCAACCAAGAGGAAAGTAGTCTTTCTACAGTCAGTGCACTTCCATGTTAGCTGGTGGGAGCCACCAGAAGCAGCCCCAAAGGTGTCCAATCACCTGGGTTCCAAAAGAGCCTTCTGGTCCTGACAAAGGTCCGGTGCCTGAGTTTGGCTCGTCAAAAACAAAAGAGTCCTTTTTTTTATGCAAGTCCCCAGTCTCTCAAGCTCGTGAGCAAGACCCCTCCAGGTAGGAACCGTGCAAAATGCCCGTTTTCCAAGCACCCTTGAAAATTCAGTTCCGGGGGCACGCGCTACGGCCAGGTCCCCAATCCTACAGAGCCTCTCATGTGTATGGCCAAGGATGAGAGGGCTTACAGCAGACAAACCAACAAGCAGGGATGCAGGGGAAGCAGGGATGTGGGCATAGTTGTTTCAGGTGATATTTAGACATGGTTTCCTTTACAGAGACTCCTCGCACATCCCCGCTTCCCCCGTATCCCCGCTAATTCGCTTTCCCAATTACATTGCCCGTGAAAGCGGGGCAATCTCTAACCTCTCTACTGGAGGACCTAGGTAATGTCTGAGGACTTTTTTCTACATTGGACTCCCCGTTTGGCCTCCGTGGGAAGCGGGTCCTCAGGTGACCGTGAAGGGGAACAACGGCACCGTTTTCCTGCAGCCTGGGGGGGACCGCCTCTCCGTGGTCAAGGTGGGGGAGGGGGTGAGATGGGAAAGGGGTTTCAACATAGAGAGAGACATCCATTTCGGACGGTTTCCAATTAAATTGGCGCCGACCATGCTGGGGGAAGCAATGACAGGTTGCCTTGCGCGACAAGACGACAGATCTGTGGCTAGTGGTTGCTGGTGGCACGCAGGCCTTTGCACGTGATGATACGTGGGGAGCTTGGAGGTCAGCAGTCGATGTGTCTTGAGGAAGAGCAGTGCACTGGGCAGTGATGAGACATCATGGCCCAGTGGACCGCTCTTCTTCAAATGTCAAAGACGTTGGCCGGCGCAACAAACAGAATGGGGACTCCAATGGGGACAGTCAGCAGTCGATGTGAGGAAGAGCAGTGCACTGGGCTGTGATGAGACATCATGGCCCAGTGGACCGCTGTTTTTCAATGTCGAAGACGTTGGCCGGCGCAACAAACAGAATGGGGACTCCAATGGGGACAGTCAGCAGTCGATGTGAGGAAGAGTAGTGGACCGCTCTTCTTCAAATGTCAAAGACGTTGGCCGGCGCAACAAACAGAATGGGGACTCCAATGGGGACAGTCAGCAGTCGATGTGAGGAAGAGCAGTGCACTGGGCTGTGATGAGACATCATGGCCCAGTGGACCGCCCTTCTTCAAATGTCGAAGACGTTGGCCGGCGCAACAAATAGAATGGGGACAGTCATCAGTCAATACAAGGAGGAGCAGTGCACTGGGCTGTGATGAGACATCATGGCCCAGTGGACCGCTCTTCAACTGTCGAAGATGTTGGCCGGCGCAACAAAAGGAATGGACAATGCCAAAGATGTGGGCCTTGTGGCCGATGCAGATGCTGAAGTATGGTCCGAAGGATGCCATGGATGCGGCCGTGGAGGTAGCTGGTCTGTGAGCACACCCAGTGCTCACCTTCGCCAGCGTCGCATACGCAGCAGGTGAGGTCCGTTGGAGACTCCCTCAAGTATCAGGTGTTTTTGTCAGCGACCGACAGATGCACCATGTTGGCTCCACCTAGCCGAGTTTGCTCCGGCACAGATGACTTTGAGCGCAGAAAGCAAACAAGAAGCTGATCACGGCTCAAGCCCCACATTCCAGCGTCCCGAGTTTTCGCCATTTTCAGTCAACTTGCGCTGGAACTTCTTTCTTAGACTCCGATTCAAGGATGGATCTGGTTCCAATGTCTCTATGATACCTTGATGACTCTTAAGTGCTCGGGAAAATCTGCGGATTTGTTAAGAGCATTCCTTGGCCTCAGAGAAAAACAACAAACACCTCCATTTTTGGGCGCCTCCGGTTTTCGACCACATACCCATGCCGTGCCTTTTTTGGTCGATTCTTCCCCTGACTGAAGAAGGGTGGCTTGCTTCAGGAAACCTCCCTGACGGAGTCCGTGTCCGTCACCGGCCAGGACGGAGCGACCGATGCCGTGGATCGAATCAGAAGGATCGGATTCCCCTCAGTGAAGATCCCACGCCAACCACTGCAATAGGTCCTAAAATGGGTGGTGAATTCACCGAAAACCCTCAAATGGGATCCCATTAGTTTTGAACCATGGCCAGAAGATTCTGCGAAGAAGTGGGTAGTTGTATGGCGAAGAGGAGAACATGTGGTCGAAACACCCTGCAGGGGTCGTCATATTTCCTGTTTGGGTGGTTGCAAACATCACCTTTTGTTTTTTTTTGGGGGTCCAAGTCAAGGGGAGCATGCCAAGTTTTCGGAAGACCAGTCAAGTGCTTTTGTTTTGTCCTCAATACTTATTACGGAAGCGATCGTCCGCTAGTCGTTGGGGACAACCATAAAGCCGTGTGTTTTCCTTGGCCCAAATATGGCCGTGGACGTTGCGAATTCATGCTGGCAAGGGCTCCCCGCATGAGCCTCCAAGGCACACACACACACACACCCTACAAGCCAAATAGGGGGTCCACTAGAATCTGGGTTTGCTCAAACGATCAAAACCAGACCGAAACATGGTGGGTTTGGGCTTTGGTTGTCTTTGGGTCAGCCTTGCGCCGCACACAAGCTGCATGATGCCAATGATTTGGGGCGCATGGAGATGTGTTACACACATTAAACTCGCTTTGTGGGTGGTGCGAAACGGAACACCTAGAAAGACAGCACTTGGACGAAAGGCTTGACCCAAGAAGTCTTGCGCTGGAATGTTAGCTTTGGCTTTGCTTACCAGCGCGCTCAAAAAAACGCCGATTGCGAGTGGGTCGGAGGGAGCCCTTTCCTAGCTGCTTCCTGCGTCAGGCCCTTCAGGCATGAGCGAACCTTGCTGAAGACATAAAGATAATGTCACAGACGTCCTCGCTCTGATGAGTGCAGCTTCAGTTTGCAGTCCCAGGACATAGCGCCTAACGCGACCATGGAGCACCCTCCATGTAGTTCAGGATAGCTAACAGAAATGTCAGGAAGTAAATTAACGGAATTGGAAGCCGCATCCCTGCTCCCTCACTTGCCTGAGCTTTCACCAAGATGCCCCTGGTTGGAAGACGGCTTAGTGTCCCTCACACGCCGTTAGCGCCTTTTAAGCTGCTACTTGGATTGCCCCTTGTGACACTCTTTCAAAGGGGCTCACAGGGATCGCAATTCTAGTCATTACGTGTATTTACGTGTTGTGTTTTTGTTCCCCGATTTTTCATCCCCCTCCCACTTGGAACCCAGCTTGAAACTCTGTATTGGCCAGAATCAATCCTTAGTTCTGCCAGATACTGGTTTGTTTTTGTAGTGGCGTCCACCACGCTTTACGGCTTAAGATTCGGGATCTCCCCCCATTTCAACAGGACAACGAACCAACAAACCCCAAAAACTACCATCTCCTTCAAGTTCATTTAGTATCTTGGGGATGGTGAAATATGGTTGAACATCTACTTTTCGGTGTTTAGCACCAGAGGTGCGAGACAAGCTTGTCCCGAGCCAGCTTGGCGCTTGGCTCAGGATGCTTTGCGCCAGCTGAGAGTGGGGGAGGTCTTGGACATCATGGGCGAGGAATCCGTGGAGGAGGCTCTCTTTTTTTGCGCCGCACCTCGGGCATTGTTGGGTGCTTTTTCTGCGCCACACGTCGGTCCTTGACGGAACAGAAGTCCTTCCTTGGGAGGGTGTTTCCCACTTCCAGATTGAGCGCTTCCAGGTTGCCCTTGAGGAAGACAGGCACACGTTTTGCAAGCCCAGCGTCCTAGAGCCGGATCCAGAACCACGCCGGATCCAATCTCTGCAGGACCAAAGCTTTCAGTGGGGGGGGGGGGGGGAATTGCGAACAGCCTGTTTTTGGTGTTTCTTTGAAGAAGAACGAAGCATCTTGAGCGGCCTGTGAATACGAATCCTGCGGGGAGTGTGAGCAACCGTGGGCTAGAAACAAGTGTGAGTAGGTCCAGTGGGATAAAAATGTCGAACAACCATTGAATCAGCTTCCTTGTAGTTTCCCTTTGAGGGGATTCGGAGCCAGATTCTGGATGCACAGTTTGCAGCGGGGAGATTCTTCCAACAGGCGCTGTAGAACCCCTGTTTTTCAGGGCACCCCTTTGTTTTGGCTTAAGGGCTGACAGGGGGTCCTAGTTTGGACCATTTTCCTTTTTGAGGGCTCGGGCCCCTGTCAGGTCCACGTTGATTGGGGGGTACTTAGACGGTCTCGGACTTACCTAAATGGTTAGTAACCCTAGTTACAGGGAACTTACAACCATTGTAAGTGGGTCACAACCAGGGTTACTACCTAGAGTCTCCATGACCCTCAAAACATGGCGTCATTACCAAAAATAATGGGGTCATGGACCCATTAGACTCCAGGCAGTCATTTAGCGGTTTCTCCCAGACCATCCAAGTACCCAGGGTTCCCCAGGGTGCCCCTACTAAAATAGACTACAGCAAAAAAATCGGGTACCAACTTATTCTAAACCTCTCAAATCTGGAGGACCTAGGGGGCTCCCCTATGTTGGCTTGGCCAAAGCATGGCCCGCGCTTCTGACCTCCGGCTCCAGGCGTCTGGTCTCCTGCGGGCCAGGGTCCGTGCTCAGGCGGACGGCAAGGTGGGCCCGCGGCCCCAGGTCTGCATGATGCGTGCGGAGGTTCTTTTTTCTCCGAAGAAGGCCTTTTATGAATGCAAAGAGCTCGAGCTACAAGGAAGGTCGCGGTAGAGGCGATGGTCCGACAGTAGCGGGGGGGGTAGCTTTGGTCCTAGGTCCCCCAGTAGTGCCCTTTTACCGTTTCTTTTTTGGTTGGGAGGGTTCCCCTGCTAATAGACTACAGAAAAAAGGGCACCAACTTATTCTTACCTCTCTACTGGTACCTAGGGTTGGACCCTCCAACAAATTGGTGGTTTTGTAGTTTTTTTGGGTTTGCCTAGTAGAACTACCCTGTAAGGAAGAGACACATCTTTTCGGGGCTGGCTTGGGACACCAAAAGGAACTGGGTTATTTCGAGAGACACTCCGCAAGAGGCCAGTGAACCCGGATTGGTGGCAGAGGGGTGGCTTCCTTTGTCCAGGAGGGCCTTTTTTTCTTCGGTTGGTAGACATAGGCCAAACCAGGCTGACATTGGAGCGAGCACCAGAAGGTCTCCTCCGAGCAACAAACAAGACCTCTCGGGCCATACTGTGGATGGGCGAAATCCTCTTAGGCACCGCCTAAGAAGCCCTGATTCGATTCCCCAGCGTAAATACCGTAACAAACGTTCTGGTTTCATGTCCATGGTTCAGTGGTAAATACCAACAAACCTTATTTCCCAAGGTTCGCTTCGTGGTGCCTTTGGGCAATGGTTTCAACCACGGTTTCCAAGTGGTGCGAACGGGACTTGGGGCCCAGCCTCGATTCGTCGATCTGAGGCTGGGCCACAAAGGTTGGTAGCACGGGCACCGCCTTCCTGCGCCAGCTCTGACGGAAAAAAAAAAGAAGATCGGCCCTGGCAGGCGCGTGGAAGACTTCCATTTGCTCAAGAGTATGTATTTTTAAAACTGTCCTCGTTTGTTTACAAGGAGATTGTCACTACTGGACATGTTTTAATTTTTCCCAGGGGTCCAACTGAGAGGTCGAGTTGTCACTACAAGAAGAGGTCGAGTCGGGCCGATCTGGGAGAACACAGAAGGATTTTGGATAGGGGAGCCGGGAACCATCTCAAAAGTGGTTGCACAGAATACCCACCGAAGTTTGATGTCCACTACTTATAGGGTCTCCTCTAAGTCACCCATTTCCGACGGATGAGCCTGATGAACCTGATGGATATTTTTTGGGCACCTGAGTCATCACAACCCGGGTAGATGAAGGTTCGTAAGGGGCAGCTTTAGCCAGAAATAGTTGCGGCCGCCTTCTTGATTCTTTACATGGTTCTGGGTAGACCATTTTCATAGGTTTTGATTGTGACTCACCTGGGGAAGCAGTTGGGGCGCCGGGATCCTGCGCCCGGAGACCCGCTCGATCCGCGGCCATTTCTCAGATGGCCAGCGTCCGTGGCCGAGGCGCGAAGTTGCCTCGATGCGTGAGACCCATGGGGACGGGGGGCTCTGGCGTCAGATTTTTCTGGTGGCAGGGATGGCGCCTTTGGCAGAAAGAAAGTGCCCGGAATCGGAGAAAGGATAGGTCCCCCAGCCAGGTGCCCTTTCTCACCCCTTGTTTGGTTGTGAGGGTTCCCCTCCTATAATAGACTATATACAGAAAAACAAGGTACCCTTATTCTAACCTCTCTACCGTACGACCCGCCCTTTGCAGAAAGTGCCCAGAAGGAAGTCAGAGAAAGGATGGAGAGCAGCAGACGTGTTTTTTTTCT